CAATTGATATATTTATGTATTTTTATTTTCCTACTTGATATTATATAATAAAAAAAAAAAAAAAAAAAAAAAAAAAAAAACTTAGTAATATAATTAGTGATGTAATAAATATATGCTAGAGCAAGTTTTCTTGCTAATATGAATTTGATATCATTATTTCTTCTGCAAGCAGCTGTTATATATGGATTATAGTTATTAATAAAGGCATTAATGTGTTGGACTGCAATAATACCTTGCACAGGAAAGATCATGCCAGGAGGGTCAACTAATTTTTGTGGAAAGTCAAATCTGCAATTCTTTTGTAATCCACAATTATATTTTTTACAACTCTTACTACAATGATGAAAAAGAGTATGCTTGGCAATTGCAAGTAAATTTTGACAAAAATTTTTATCAAAATTAGGTAATCTAAGGTCTGAAATAGGTGTAAATGAGAGGTGCATTTATTTTTCTAAAATTGATTTTGGTCTCATGTATTCAGTCTTAAGCATTTCATTAGTTAATATTTGACCATTACTCAGAAGATATCTTAGATCTTTTCGAACAATATCACTAATATATTGTAGTAGGCATTGACAAAAATCTTTATCATTTTTGAGTCTTTCTTGTAGCATGATAGTGTCGGGTACACCATAAAGCCAGATAAGCATATGACAATGTGGAGTACTACAGTCTTGGTACTCAACAACACCATAGTAATTTTTTACTCTCCCAAATATGCCACAATTTTTATTATTATAGCCAATTATTGAATTAATTATGCATTGGATAGTTGTATCAAAATATTTGGCAACCGCAGAGAAATCAAGGTGTGCTAGTTGAGCTCTCTCTGTAGATTTTGGGAAATTATCAGGTAGAAGATTTTCAAGGTCTATTTCATTGCCAGCATACAACATAGTGATAGGACTGTGTAAATCAGCAGGATTAATTGTAATGAAAAAAGAAGGTGTTCTATCTCGAATAATGATAGCTTGTATCTCACTATGCATATGGGAATGTGACTGGGGTGATGCCATTAATTTGGAACCAGTGGAATTAATATTTTTGAGAAGCTCAAGAATTGCTGGATTAGTGACAAGCTGTCTATTTTGTTTTTGGTTGATAGCAATTGAAATATCATTGGCATTGAGTGTAGCAATTAAGTTGGCTGAACGTTCAAAATTATAACTCTTTGTTAAATTATATGTCTCTGATGATACTTCACGTCACTGTAAAATATTGAATGCAACAAAGGGAAATGATTGATGTTGCCTAAATTTCGGATCACTATGATGCATGAGATGATTGGCATATTGTTTTAAGGATACATGTAACAAGCGACCTTTATGACCTTCAATGCCATAGGGATAGAAAACTGGAAAACCTGCAGGAAAGAGGAAATCATCTTCATATTCATTTAGTGATTTATTATCATGGGGCATGAGAATTATATGGGGTTGTAAAGAATTATCTTTTGTGTTTTTTTTATTTGAGGAGCTAGAAAATGCATTATATTTTTGCTGATTTGTATTATTTATTAATTTTTGAAAGAAAAGTAAAATAAGTTCTCTTCCAGAAATTGGTACATTATTAACATAAACTATGCCTGAGGGTCTAAGTTCACAAGCACTACCAATAGAGTTATTGATATTGGGATAAAGTAATTTGGTATTTTTATCAGGATTACTATTATCATTATCTGTATCACTAGTTGATTTATTGTATTGATCTAATGGATCTTGAATGTATCCAGTGTGATGTTCTATAGTTTGAAAATCAAGATTTATGACTGTGGTAGTCAAAGTTAATGATTCGGGAATCTCACCTTCTGGTAAAAGGTTTAAAGCATTGTTGTCAAATTTATAGTTTTTGAATAGGATGTTATGTCTAAAAAGCCATTTAAGTGCTATAGAAATTTTACTTTTTCTAACTTGAAGTATTTTTTTAAGCAAATTTTTAGGAGGGTTTCCTTTCCCAATGAATACGACTTTCAGATAATCATATAGTCGATACATAGGTAGAGGTAATACATTTACTAACGATCCTGGGTTTTGAGGTAGTGTTATAATATAACCTTTGAGTTTATGATAGATATGTTTTTTGTTTATTAATTGTATAAGATTTATGTACAAGTAACCAGGTGAGATAAGAAGTTGCTTAGGTATAGTTAAGTCTTGAAGACATAACAGAGTTGGCCTGATCCATATATTGTTAGCTAGAGACAAAGGTAGGGTTTTGTTTTTCTGTAAATATGTATAACAAGTATTACAGATTTGTAGCTCAAAAGATACATTTTTAGTCATAAAACAATTAATATTACGAGAATCAGATAGGTATATGAATCCAGTTCGATTAAGAAGAACAGGTATTTTATAGACATCTATATTAGGATGGTCATAATTGAAGTTGATTTTAAATAATGAGTCTGTAAGATTAGCTAGGGCTTTTAATAAGGAAAGGTTGATTTTATTTACTGGAACTTCTTTGTATTTTTCAATATTATAAAGAATTGAGCAAATAGCATATGGTTTCTTACGCAATCTATTAAAGTTGGTTTCATCAATGAATTGAATTAGGGCATTTTTTGATATTTCTTGATCAACTATCTGTGGCCACATCACATGTCCATTGATCGCATTTATGAAAGATTCATCCATTTCTAAAACATGCAATGGAAGATTTGCCTTTTCTGCTTGACAGTCTTTTATAAGACGAGTAGTGATTTTTTTTTGCTGTCTTTTTGTCTTTTGAATTGTATTATTGACCTTGTTAAAGTTTTTATTTTGACAAAGTTTTGCTATACGTTGTTTTAGTTTATTATTGTCAGATTTTCTAAATATTCGATCTGCACGTTTTGTTGCTTTTCAATTCTGTTCTTTTCTTTTTCGGGCAGCTCCTCTGGTTTCAACAATGACCATAGCAAGTGATGCTTAAAGGAATTTATTAGTTTTCTGTAAAAATTGCATTGTTAGAATTAGATGTCTTGAGATAAGTTGTTTGAGATTTATTATATATATATATTTAAACAAACTGTTGCTTCAATTTCTTGTATAATTCTTTATTAGAATATTACAAGAATCAAGTTTCTTTATTTATATGTAAGAAAGATAAAGGATATTAATAATAATTATTAAATGTATGTGTGAGAGTGAAAACCTGAAAACCGATCTAATGATTTACTATGATCGGTTTCCAGGTTTTCACTCTCACGTACTCAAATACGGCATATCTACTATGAGATTAGTTGAATAATACAAGAGGTATTTATGTAGAGTATATTAGCATCATTTATCATAATATAAGAATTATATAGTCTTTGTTATTATATATTGCTTTTACAGGATAAGCTTTGTGTAATGATAAATTATATTTTAGTTAACTATTCTTTAAATGCTGCTTAAAGTTAATATATCAATCAATAGGGCAACAATTTAAATAAGTCATATTATGATAATTAGGCCATTTCGAGCAGAGAGCATAAGGAAGATAAAGGTTTATTAATGATAATTACTGAATGTAATAATTGTATAGTTTGGTTGATCATGTGCAGCGTATTATGGTAAATATAAATTATAATTTTAATTCTATATATTTTTTAAAAAATATTCTTAATATAGGCAGTATCATTACTTCTAATATATTATATTTTATAAAATAAATTAAAAAGCTTATTAATAATATTAAATTTAATAATTGTTATTTTAAACTATACTTTTAAGCTTATTAATAATATTAAATTTAATAACTATTATTATAAACTATACTTTTAGGATTATATATACTATAATATTAAATTTAATAACTATTATTTTAAACTATAGTTTTAAGCTTATTAATAATATTAAATTTAATAACTGTTATTTTAAACTATACTTTTAGAATTATATATACTATAATATTAA